ATTTAAAGGGGACATGTTATGCAAAACCAAGTTTTTAATCATTTGATTATGTACATTTGGGACTGTGGAGGGCCTATGAGCAGGCAAAGTGTGAAAAAAAATGACTCAGTCATGTTTTTGTGGGCCGCCTCAGTCTGAATCCAGGAGATAAATCAGGAGGTTTCAGGAGTGGGTAGTTTCTGACGTCATTAGCTCTAGCTCATTATAATATTCCAGCCTTTCACCTGCATGTTGCCCCCCCCCTCAGCTTACTCCCCTATCTGTGGAGACGTCGTGGTAGGGTTAGCATGGTAGCGTTAGCATGGTAGCGTTAGCATGGTAGCGTTAGCGTGCCGACGTGGGCACACCTCCCTGAAGAAGTGGCTGGATTGCCTGTGTCTCATTTGCATTTAAAGAGACAGGCACTCCAAAGCGAGCGCTCTGAACGGGGCTGTTTTGGGTTAGGGTTAGGGTTAGGGTTAGGGTTAGGCAGGGGGACTGAACTGCTATTGGGCTTCATCCTTATGGGGTTTTGACCAAAGCTTGTCACAGACATTACATTAGGACACCAGGGAACTAGCTTAACTTGTTGAAATAGGGTATAATATGTCTCCTTTAAAGCCCGATCCCAGAAAATATAATAATTTTTGTTCATGTCTGAAGTCTTTATTTGACCCTTCACAAAATATATGAGAAAAAACTGAAATTATTTTTGAATATTCGTCATTTATTACCTTCTGCTAAGTCAAAATAATTGTGCATAGTCTTCTGCCTGGTGTTATTAGCTATAACTGATTGTATACAACAAGGTTTTGAACAAACTTTTTACCATGAAATGATGCAGAAGGCCTCAGATGCTAAATTTTTCAGAAATCGTGTGTATCGAATATGATAAATATGGCGTTATAGGGTTAAACCAGACCTTTTCGGCGGCGGTGCGCAGGACCATGATGCGGAAGATGAAGAGGACGGTGAGCCAGACTTTTCCGATCACCGTGGAGTGACCCTGCACCTTATCCAGCAAACGACCCAGCAGCTCCCACTCCCCCATTTCAGCTCCAGACGTCCTGCTTTCTGCTGGGAAATAAAAGAACACGCGTCCCGGCACAACTATCCGTCAGGATTACCGCTAAGTACGCACAGAATTGTGCAAAACCTAAAAATGTAACACTTTTTTTTGGCTTTTAATATGTTTCGTATAGTAGTTTTAACATCAAAACTTGACTTTCAAGTTCTCCAGAATTGGACAGAATCTGCTCTTGACTCATTTACTCATTTAACCCTTTAAAGCCTTATATAAGAATATAAAAAAAAACAGAAAATGACTTTTTTGGGGTTTTAAGTCTTTTTTTGGCTTTTTAACAAAATATGAAAAAATTAAAAGCAAAAATCCATTTTTAATATTAATAATTTATTACTATGCGATAATTTAAGATTATTTTTTGTGTAGTCCTCTGCCCCCTGTTATCAGGTGTATCTGATTGTGTACAATAGGATTTTGAGCAAAGTTTTTACCATTAAATTATGCAAAAGGTGTCAGACGCAAAACATTTCAGAAACCGTGTGTATCAAATATGACACATTTGGCATTAAAGGGTTATGTACATGTTTTAAGACATTTGCACACCACTGAACAACACCGGATGCCTTCTATAAATGACAATTCAGTATGATTTGTATTTTCAGGCC